AGAATTAACCCTAACGAAATTTGCACAATTTGTAATACTCAACAACCTGAAGATGCGCACCACTTATTCTTTGTTTGCCCCATTTACCATAACACTCGAAAATATTACTTACACAGCTACCTTAACAAAGACATAAACCTAATTCTTAGTAAAGACTCAAATGAGCAACAGCTTACAGATATTTATAATTATTTTGCGACAATTCTGAGTATAAGATCGTTCATAATAAATGAATAACAGAACCAAAAAACAAAGTTTGCCTATCATGAACGCTGCTATTTCATGTACATAATTGTAAGCCCAGCATATCCTAAAGATAAGTGTAGCATAATGAAGTAATCTCATGTTTGTAAATGTTCTCCCAACCTAACCCCCCTTTGTTAAATCCTCCCCAGGATAAAAAATAAAGTATTCTATCTATCTATCTATCTATCTATCTATCTATCTATCTATCTATCTATCTATCTATCTATCTATCTATCTATCTATCTAACTACTTCAAGTGTTCGCTCTCAATATTCTATCCGGGAGGAGATACTAACCTATCATCATCATACTCTTATGCTGCCGTGCTAAGGAAAAACGCCGTATGAACCTTCAACCGTTGCCAAATTTCTTGTGACAAAATGCAAATTTTCTGGTAAATCTATGAAGATTTTCCTCCCCATTTGTGAGGAATGCAAAAAAAAGAATACAGCACTGAAATTTAAGGTCCTTTCATTTACTACAATTCTAAAATTACCTAAACTTAAGAAAAAAGTTGTGAAAGATTAACAAAGGATGCCTCTCGCGATTATACTATAGAGGTTTTCAGGTTTCAGGACATTTTGTCAACGATTTTTTGTCCGCGCACCTCTTTTGTCCAGTAATTTACGCCCACACGTAAAATAAACAACGGTGACTTGGTCCAAGCGTTATATTTTAGTCGGTATGTAAAATTATATTGACAATATGGAAATGAGAAATTGAGAGAGAAGGAGGTGTTTTTATGGTTGCTCATTTTCTAAATGAAATGTTATTACTTTCTCCTTTTGAATCATCTTTTTTAAATTGTCATTGGTGAATGTTTGGTTTTATTTCTATCCTTAAAATATTCGATGTACAATATACCTTATATTATGTATAGGTACTTTTTTTATTTATTTTTTCTTTACGAAATGATTGCTTCATTTTGAAAACATTTATATTTTTAAAACGTGACAAATATTTGTAAAACCTTTTCCAAGCGACATTAATCTCAATAAGCCGCAGTTGTGCCGACAGAAACTGCAAAAATGAATCAATGAGGGGAAAAAACCAAGAAGCACGCAATCTTAAGTTTTAACCCAGTTGTACATCGATCTTTTAAAGTCAAATACGTCAAACTTTGAGCGTTTGGTTGCGCGTACACCTCGCTGCAGCACAATGAAAGCACAAAATGTAAAAGAAAAAACTAAAGTGCTTTGGAAATTATGAAATTTGACACGGAACCACCGATATTTATAAACACACATGCTATTATTATTTTCCTTTGATGAATTGATACATATTTTTTTCCCATCAATTTAAATGAGAATAATCAATGCAGAGTGTGCAAACATTTCAAAATCATGAGTTAAAAAACCCTAACTATGCAAGTATAAATATTAAAGCCTAACAGAGCAGAGCGGCGTGCTGCCGGCAGCCAGCGCGGGAGGCTCACTGGCGCCTACAAACCTAAGTGGATACTTCACGCATGGCACAATGCTAGAAGTATCCACTTAGGTTTGTAGGCGTCATTGCGCGTTACGCGCTGGCCGCCGCGCCGCCGCCCGCCCGCCGTGCGGCGGCGCCTGAAGCAACTATTTTACAACACAGGTGTTGCAGAGTAATATACGAAATTGGACGTATTAAGAATGACAGGCATCCTTTAAAAGTGCAGATCTTTCCTCGCAAAATAAATTAGATACTTATCGTACACAGGAAAATTCTAAGAGCCTTTAGCTGAGGCAAACATAGAGGTTTATCCGGTTCAGGTATAACAAGGTGGGAATTTCTTGAAAGATAATTAGGTCCTGTTACACAAAAGAGGTGTAAAGAGTTTTAGTGAATTTTGTCTCATCAATCGTATATACATTTGATTTATTTATTATTTCTTTTTTTCAGAAAAATTTTCTCGGCTTTTTACGTTTTTTGTCGGAATATTTCCCCGCATGCCTCCGTATTTTCGTTTTGCGCCGTTCGTTTCATTTCAAATTTTTCTACACCGAAAAATCGTTTCGGCCCGTTGCCGTTCCGTCCATAGGAGGGTGCTAGAACACTGTATTATTACATTTCAGGATGTATCTACTCATTCTCTTGTATTTTCACGTGTTTCCTTTGCTGTTTTTTCAGACGCTTGGCTTTTGCGGAACAGTTGGGGTACTAAATGGGGAGTAGAAGGGGTAAGTTTGGTTGATTATGTTTTACCGCAGCCGTGCAACACTCGGCGAGTTTCCTTGCATCTACACTTAAAAAGCATCTGCATCAGATTTGGCTGAAGCACTTCATTATATTTTTAATAAATATCAAATTTCACGATGAACGAGGTAAACACATACGGAAAAATGCACCTCGATTTAACAATTATAAACGGTGAAAGAGTTAAGTGACAGTTTTTTTTTTCAAATTGAGATCACGCCTCAATACTTGAAATTGAATTTTATTCGAGTTTAATAAATTTCTTGTACGAGTACGAAGGGGGTCACGAGATCCTCATCCTCCACTCCAAAAGAGCTGCGATCAAATTTTGTTAGATTCTTACAGCGGCATATTAGATTTTTTTCGATGTGCCGATTATTTGCACTCACCCTTCATATTTTCTGTAAAGACGTTAATAGCGTAAGATGCAGAATATCTCTAATAAAATTAAGTAAATAACAGTTTTGCAGGAAGGTCTGTTCGGCTGAGCAGTCTGCAACAAGGAGGGCACCTTTTCACACGAAATCAGTATGATATTATTAAGATACTAGTACATTATCAACAAGAGATCCAACATCTTGCATTTATCCGGTCCAAAAAATCACGTTGACAAAATATTCCCATTTGGACTATAGTCGTTGGCACGATGATCTCTTATTGTTCCTCAGTCTTTGTCAATAAGACAGAATGTTGTATTTCAATCCTTAATGTTTAGAATGTAGATCATTGATTTTAGTGAAATTAACTCTGATAATTGATTTAAGTGCCTTTTGCAGGGTCACTTTTACGTGAAGAAAGGATTTTGCGGCATTGGAATTGAATCTTACAAACTCGTCCCTTAAATCTGTCCTCCGCGTGATGCTTCTGGCAATCCCTTCACCATCATCGAGGGGAGTATCTTACAAAAGAGTCGTTGGATTCTTTATCTCTCTTCAAGCTTTTATTACAGGGAAAAATAAATTTGTGTTATACGTATCCGTGACGAGTATGGAAAAAAAGCACCCTTCCTCCGCCAAAATATATAGTTTTTTAATACTAAGTTTTTTTAAATATGTCTTATAATTAATCATTTGATCACGTTGATGACAATACTAGTGGAAATATCATCGCTATTGGTGAAGTCTCTTTCACTAAAATCTCGTACTTTTGGAAATCATATAGTTTTTTTAACAAATTAAATATTGAAGGCCAGATTGATGACTACGAGGGATCCTTCTAAAAAGGGATCGAAACCCTTTAGTTTACGCCCAATATTTTAAGAGGTCGGGTTAATCAGGGGTAAGGTGCCAGGTATTATGTCATGATGCTAATTTTAAAATTCTACACGAGAAAAATTAAATTGCTGATTTAACAATTTTGTTGTTAAAAAAGTGACCGGCATGATTCAGCGTAGATTTTACAATAAAAATAATGTCATTTTAACGACTCACGTGGGTACATTAGCTTTCCACTATTGTACAATGTACATTTGAAACATGTCAGACATATTTTTCAAAAATATATTTGTTTAATATATATATATATCGAATTTATTGTCAAGAAAGAAATCAGTACAAAGAAAGAACATGACTTTTCAGAATACACTTAAGAATTATTACAACAACTACCTCTGTTTAAAAGGTTTCCATTTGAATTTGTAGATTAAGATTTTCTACAGAAAGTTTTAGATAGGGAGGAATTTTAGGCTGTACAATTTAATAGATTGCACATGAAAATAACTAGGGAAAAAATCCAATGGGAAAAAACCTGGTTTAGATGAAGGAGGTGGGATAAAACAAAACCCAGACTGCTGAAAGAGCAAAATAACAAGAATATTAAGAAAATAAAAATAAATATAAAAATAAGTAAATATTAAGAATTTACAACTAGATAACAAGGGAAAGGGTGAAGACTTCAGTACGTGAGCGCCCAGCTCTCCATTTTAAGTATGGAGAGGCGAGGCTGGGCGTATTCACGCCTGTGCCTGTGAAGAAAGAATTAATTCTATTATAAATCAGTTCACAGATAGTGAATCAGATTGTAGGGAAGGTTGGACTGATTGTGGGATCTGTACCTCTTGTTGAGGTAAGAGCTTGAGGATAACAGACATCAGTTTGTCAATCTGCTCTGCTTGTTTAGTTACTAGGTGTTTAAGCTCGTTGATTACTGTGACATAATCAACGCTGTTATCAGTTGTCGTGAGTGATACAGCTGGCTGAGGAGTTTTGTTTTCGGAAGAGCTCGGTCCTTTCAGGGCAGAACTGTAGCTCTTATCTGATGATCTAATGTTAGAATTAAGATTTCCTTGATTAGGCTCGCTCTTGACTGGAAATCTCTTTTTACTCACTTCCTTTTTGACTTTGCACCCTTGATAGGTTGCCAAGTGGTTATCTTTGCAAAGGGCGCAAACGGGGAAGATACACGTAGGTACATCAGGGGTTTTACATTCCCCTGTTTGATGAAATTCAGAACAGATAGCACACCTGGGTTGACGAAAACAGTAAGATTTAGAATGTCCTAATGAGAGGCAGTTTTTACACTGTATGACAGATTTTCTTTGATGAGGTTTTTCGAACTTTACAATTAAATTGGAGATTTCCTTAACCTGCCAAATCATTTCGTTAGAGCCTGGAAAAGGAAGTAAGTCTACATAATGCAATGGAAGAGGAGATTTATCTGTAAATTTGAGCATGCGAGTCACGTTTTTGACGGGTATCTTGTATTTCTCCTCAAGACAGGAACGTATCGTTTCCTCAGCTTGAGGAAAATCCGTAGGGATACCCCTGCATACAACTCTAGTAACTTTTTCTTCTTTAATTTGGTAGGTGAAGTATGCTATTTTTTTGTCCTTGAGGACCTTAGTGAGAGAGCGATATTCATCGATTTTTTCTAAAATTATTTTAAACTGGGTTCTATTAATGATTTTGAGTTTTGAATTTTTAGATATTTTATCTACTACTTCTGCTTTAAAGGTGAAGGGGTTTGGAATTTGAGAAATGAAAATGGGAGGGGGGGTTAACAATGGTTCTACTGACTTATCTGATTGAAGAATATTAAATTTAGAGCTTAAATTAAGCGCAGGTACTGGTGGCCTATTTGCAGGGATAGATTTCCTTCTCTTGTGGCGGGTGACAACCTGGAAGCTGTCGTTATCTGTTTTAACACCTTGAAACTCCGAAGACTGGGTATCTGAAATGATGGGTTGTAAATCCATGGATTCTACTTCTGGATCAGTTGACCCTTCGTCAGAGTCAGAATCAGTGAAAGCTTCGGGTGCATCGAGGTCATCAGGGCTATAGGGCAAGCCTTTGCACATAGAGCACTTGAAGGGGTATTTTTTGTGTATACACTTGCAGTCAATAGCTGCCTTAACACTGCATTTTTTGCAGAGATGAGCCGACTGTTTGTGCTCACACTGTAATAGTGTGACACTTTTTTGGGAGGCCACTTTTTTCACACTTTTCTGAGAGGGAAGAGGTCCTGCAGCGCGAACATTGATAGTTTGTTTACCCTTTTTGCTATCTCCTAAGGGTGGAAAAGCACTTGAAGGGGGAGGGAACACTGGAAGGTTAGTGCAAGTACCGCACTGCTGAAATAAAATTCTGTGCGAGCACCAGAATTTTTTGGTGAAAAAGTTAGATCTTTTTATGTCACAAAGATTGCAAAGATGAGCAATTTGCTCATGAGCACACTTCACAAAGTTTATTCCCGGAGAATTGGGATCCATTTCACAGGAGGAAAAAACTCAGAAACACGGCATGAAAGAGACTTGACAGCGCGTCGATGTAGCACGGCTCACGGAGCCCACGTCCTCACTCGACCGCGTTGATAAGCAGACTCCATTTGTTTAATGAGCAATTCATTTTTTTCCGCGTAGAAGATTTCAGAGACTACATAATTTTAACAAATAAAAACAAAAAAAGAAGATACGTTGTATCGATATGAATAATACAAGGAGTTCCTCCTAAGTCGAATTCTGTGACATTAATTGAATTGCTTGAGCACGAATTTTGAATTTGATAAAACTGGCCATGCTAGCTTTGTTCTTGAACATGCAGATTTTTGCTTTGTGTTTCTCCTCGCAGCGAAGACTCGAGCAGCGCTGAGGAGAGAAAATAAACCCGCTGGAAAATGTCCGAGGTTTTGTTTCCCGACTCCTATCACTTCGCACAATGGGCATAGACAAAATATATTTTAGAGACCCTGCACTAGGATTCAGAGCAAATCATCAGGGTGGAGTGAGGCAAAAATTACAACGCTAGGTTTCGATTACTGACGATAAATGAGGAATTGCTGAGCCAAAAATAATAAAAAAATTGCCGACACAGATAAAAATATTTGTGTTCTTGTGTTACTTTTGGTTAATATAGGAAGCGAAACACAAACCAACATACATTTTGTGTTGGTTTTGGTTCCGTTTGTGGTGTATTTAGCGCAGAAAACAATAGAGGAACTGGGAAAATGCAAATCTCCGATTGCAACGTTGGTATTCGTACACACATCGTACACTTCCTCCTCAAAATTGTATGAAAAATGTTACGTTCATAATTTATTGTTTTCTCCCAAATATTAAAGAGAATACATCTGACTAAGTGTTCCTGGCCGTATCGTACCTTAACTGAAGACCTATGTTAAAGAAGAAATATTCTGAAAAACGGCCAATGTGAATGCATGTAGTGCAGATAACCTGCAATTCAATTAACCTTCGAAAATTATGTTGAGACTGACTTAACCAAATACCTATTCATAGTTTGGGTCAACCAAATGTCACAATTTTACCCAATGTGCGGCGTCATAAATTAAAGCCCGGGCGGACTCCCAGGAACAGACCAGAGAATTATGGAAATTAAAACTACTCCAAACCATATTTGACGACTTCAGGAAGAAATAGTCGTAATTAAATTGAAGCTTCTGTCTTGACGCATCAATTCATTACGTTTAAATAAGATCTTAATTACCGTTTGAAATAATAAGCCACCGTCCCTGCTTCTGCATTTTTCCCTGTTTATTATTTCTGTTGCAAAAATCTCGCTTTGGACGAAGGAAGGGAGTCAGTTGAAGTGGAAGACTCGGAGGGAAGACCAGACCAGAACAAGAAGATTGAAAGCATGTTTGTGATCTGCGAATTCATATTACACTTTCTCAAACACGAGGAGTAATCAAATGAAAAAAAAAACAAAAAATACGGGAGATTCTCCCTTCAATTTGAAAAAACGGTCACATTGTTTTAAGTAGACGACTTTAGTTGCTCGCAAAATTTTTGCCCTATCAATGAGGGTACCCTCTATCTTTAGAAAACATTGATTATGATTACTATTAGATAAGAGATCAGAAACAAGGACAACATTTCAAGAGACACCGTACTCGTACTGCTCAGATTTGCCTCATGCACTGGGAAAAAAAAAAAAAAAACTAAGGTAGATTCTACCACACTCAGACACAGTGATACGAGTATGGTAACAAACACCAGACTCTATGGTAGCATTTACCATATTCTGGTAAGTATCACTAGAGGTCCGGTGAAATCTACCGGACTACCGTCATTCTAGTTATTTTCACTAAATAGTATCACTATGTAAAAAATCTAGTAGACTCATAGTGGTTTTTAGCATACGGTTTTTTTTCAGTGTAAGTACTGATGACCGAAGAGTTGATCATTCGGTTTAGTAATCCTAACATAATTCGTAAAAATTTGGATTATCATACGCCGTTTGCGACAGTCAGTGCATGAAAATCAGTGCGCCTCCAATTGATCGAATATGCAACCCGGACATCCGTCAGAACACAAATAGTTGCTACGATTGTTATATGCAGGTTGCGACTGTGCTATGAGCGTAAAGAAAGTCAGCGCCCCTTCAATTTTTTGAATATGCAACGCGAATATCTGTAAAGTACGAGAGATTGATTCAAAGCGTTGTTACGATTATTAAATGCATGTTTCGACTATAAGCGCAAGGCAAGTCGGAGCACTTTTAAGTTTTATTACTGTTTTACATATTTGTTTTAATTGCACTTAATGGAACATTTTATTGCTGAATTCAGCGTTCAATCGTGATTAGACTGATTTTATTTAATTTAATGCTCAACGAGTTTCTCAGTCATCGTCGAAAAATAGCGCTGAACTTCTTATTTTAATTTCGACCTTATCCAATTTCATTACTGACATCGGTCTCTGAAGTATATTGTCCCTAATCATATACGTATACACCACTGATATAGTAATTTTAACCACAGTTTTTAGCATGAAAATGCATTTTGCGAGGGCCGAGCGAGCCAAACTAAGAGCTCTCGCGGCGCCCGCTAGCTACACGAGTTTCCCCGGTAGCCTCATCAACCTGACATGGCATCGCAATCAATGACGCGCGTTCGCTAATTGTTTGGACAGCGCAGAGTCACCGGGAAAAAATGAGAAATAAAAAAAAATAATCTCTCCTTGTTTACTCTATTTTAACCGAGACCCGAGTGAAAAGGAAAAAAAAGGGACTCGCGAAATGACTTCTTTTGTTCGAGCCCCGCCTCCTTCGATCCCGTGAGACTTAT